AGAGTCCCAATGTGTATCAGTTCTTCTGTGCCTCATTGTGCATCACTTCAAATGAGCATCAGTCCCACTGTTTATCATTCACTCCACTAGCCATAAATCAATTTATGAAGACATATGTCTCTTACTGAATTCCATTAATTCTTTCCCTGGAATCCTACCCTCTGAATTTTTGTTTTGTTTTCTACTCCTTTGGAGTTGGCATTTAGCTTCTAATTTCATAATTTTGTTCTCTAATATAGCAGCTAAAGACATCGTCTTAACTTGGTTATTTTCTCCTCTGTTCCTCCACTTCTACCGTACCTGCTTCTTAATATTAAACCAGCTGTTCCTCTTGTTCCTTGGATTTAAATTAATTTTTAACGAAGGAGGGGAGCAATCTGAACTTCTTTTTTTGTTTTCAAAACCTCATCCATATTCAAAAGCCTCTAATCATGTTTGATCAATCAAAACTCATTGTGAAACATATTAACCCCTCTTCTAGTGCAGAATTTTAATTTTGGAGTGGGGAAACCATGAGAGAATGGGTTGGATTGAGCTGTCTCATGACAACCCACTGAATTTGTGGGATATCTTTGCCTGCCTTTCAGACTATCTAAACATAATCCGAACAATCATTGCAAAGCATAATTAAATATCTAGCCCTTACTGTTTCAGAAATAACCATCATAAAATAAGAAGCCAAGAACAATGATCTTTTAATGTGGTGCAGTGGATGAAATCCCAATTCAAGTGAGCCCATTCAATCAACTTTTGAACAGACAGGTCAATCCATTTGGATTCAGTGGCCCTACTCTAGTCAGGTTTTGACGTTCCATCAGGCTTTTGAATAGTTTCAAATGGATGGAGGATACAGAAAAAGGTTTAAAGCTCTTGGATAAGGAAGGGAGGAACAGAAGGCATAGAAACCTGATTTTGATGGCCAACTGTGACAGATTAGCTAAAGACACTGTCAACAAGCATATGCTTTGCATCTAAATGATCCCAGATTAAATCCCAGGTAACCTTAGGGATGGAAGAGAAGGACTCTGTGGCAGGCATCCTGGTGGTTAGCCCCAAGCAGAGTAAACTCACTTGATCATTTGTGGAATGAAGAGTCAAAACATCAATAAACCTAATGGGTCTACTCTTGTTAGGACTACAGTAGGATTTAGGACCCTGTCTGAAAGCTTATGGCCTGAATCCAACCCCAATTAATTCTTCATTGAATAGAGAGACAGCATGTAGATAAATAGTGAGAGGTTCTCCTACAGGTATCAAATTCCTTGAATATCAACACCTGCACCATGAATTTAGTTTGGATGAGTATGGGCAACAGGAGCAAAACAGTACAAGATTTTCCCCCCACTCAAAACCAGGAGAATGACTTTGGTAAAACCAATAGATCTCGATTGCCCATTCATGCATCTCCCAAATGGTGAGCATTATAAGAAGAACAGCTCACAATACATTTTCACTAGGAAAATCCAGTTCCAACCCACTCCCATTCCCAGCCATGGAGGGGATTATAGCTAAACCAAAAAGAATGAGATTGCCACGTTAGTCTGGAAAATCAGTATGTAAAGGGATTTTAGAGCACCTTTGGGATGAACTCAAAGACAGAAACTGGTAGCATGTGGTTTGATAGATACATCTGCGGAAATAGAGGCAAGTCTACGAAAGCTCATGATACCAGCTTCTTTCTTTCAATTAGCCTCAAAGGGGCTATAAGATCTGAGGAAATAGAGTCAAGTCTATGAAAGCTCATGCTACCAGCTTCTTTCTTTCAGTTAATCTCAAAGGTGCTACAAGATCCCTTTGCATACTGAGAAGAAACAGGGACTCCTTGGGAGAGCACCAGATGAAGTTGAGCTGATGACCCCAGGCTCCCCTCTGTGGATCCAGGCTCTGCCATCCAATGTGGAGATATAAAATTATTTGATTCATCCATCTCTAGCACTATCTGCAATGCCATCCTCAAAGCTATGCTAATTTCCACTAACCGTGAACTGGAGGTTGCCCACTGCTCTGTGCAAGCAGTGGGTATATATCCTATGGCACAGTCTAACTTACATCGAATAATTCAGCAATGAATTCCCTCAGTGGGAAAGATGCACTTGGTCTATCAGCAAGCTCCCATCTTGTTTCCTTTGCAGCCTTCTCCTGTTCTCCTCCTGTTTCCACCAATCCCATTCCCATAGCCTCCCTTTGCTATTTTCTCCGATCAGTCCAGCACATAAATATTCCCTGTTATTATTAACACAAGAGGAGAAGGGTCAATGCAAGAGGGAGAACCATTTTCTCCGCTTTTGCTCTGAGTTTATTGTTTTCAGCTCCCAGGGGGTCCCAGACTTCATCACATTCGGTGCCTCTCCCTTATAGGGACTGTTCTCCCAAAACTCTGATGAGTTCATCAGCAGAGATGACGGAGATTTGAAGATTTAAATTTATATTTCCTAGTTCCAGCTGTAATTGGGGTTCCTAGGGGAAGCAACCCGGGCAAATGACAGAAATAAAACTTGTCAGTTGGCTTCCATTTCTAGCATTCTCCTTCCTCCCCTCCCTCCAGATAAAAACCACCCCAGCCTTTTCTTCCAAGATATGCAGCTCTAAAAGTTCCTAGAGGGGACCTCCAACCCAATTACTCTTGAGCAAAAAGCTGCTGTTGTTGCGAAGGCCTGGAGCTGCAGAAAGCCCCCTCGAGGAGTTTATTGAACACATTTAGATGATTTATCCCCAGTGTTTGTCTCCTAACTTTTCCAAAGGCTCTGCATTGAACAGCAATCTCGAAGGGGGAAAGAACAAGATCTCAAGATGAAAGGGTGAGATTTTTCCCCCTCTTCAAGCAAGGAAGGAAGAAATTAACATTTGCAGAAACTGCTTGCAAAAGCCCTCAGCTTTTCCATAGCACCCGCTATGAGAAATCACTTACATTGGTTTATCAAATGCAAAGAAGAATTATGATTCTTTGGAAGAAATTTAAGAGGGCACATGAGCCTCCCCTAAATTTGAGATCTTCACCTGCAGAAATAATGCAGTCTGACACACTATAACTGCAATGCCCCCATGCTATGGAATCCTGGGATTTGTAGTTTGGTAGAGCACCAGAGCACTCTGACAGAGAAGGCTAAATATCTCACAAAACTACATATCCCAGGTTTCCATAGCACTGAGCAATGACAGTTAAAGTGGTGTCAAACTGCATTATTTCTGCACTGCAGGTGAATCCTTGGACCAGGGGTAGGCAACCTTTCCCCTTTAAGGGCCGAGGGACTTCAGCTCCCAGAATCCCAGGAGCTATTGGCCAACATGGGACTATTATAGGCCAACATGGCTGAGGCTTCTGGGAGCTGAAGTCCCTCGGCCCTTAAAGGGGAAAGGTTGCCTACACCTGCCTTGGACTCTTCCTCCCAAGTCCTGTCCTGATGGTACTCTTGGCTTAACCCTAGATTTTCTCCCTCAGAGTCCAGGACTGACATGAAAGAAGACTCAAAATGAACAGGTTTGCATCAGGTATCTTGCCATATGCTATATTAAAGGTCTCCTTGGCTAGGGTCTTCTCTCTAAACTGCCCTTATAGTCCTCTTCTCAGATAGTAATGTGGTCCTTCTGCCAATCTGTAGGAGGCCAACACCTATTAAGGTTGATTTCCCAACAGAAGAGAAAACAGAGATACAATAACGATGCTTTGGCAGGGAAGATAGGATTTTGGTGTGAAAATTGTTGGTCCCCTGTTGCCTCTTTGCCAATATTTAATAGCATGGCCATCTGATGGAGAAAAGAGAAGAGATAGGCAGCAGAACCTGGATGCCCCAATGCAACAAGATGGACTCTTTATCATGAAACTCTGTGATGCAAAGAATTATCATTCTGTGATAAGAAGATGCTGGATAGCTAGCATGAATGGGTATGCAATAGATGAGAATTGAGTGGGGGAAATGCAGTTGAAGGGCCGGATGAAGGTGGAACAAGATGATCCTAGGATATCTTTCTTCAGTGCTATGTAGTCTTAATATTTCTTAGAGACCAATTACAAGGAACTTATAAGGATAAAGCTCTTCATTACTAAATTGTCCCATTGATTTCACTGGATCTTCTTCCCATGTCTCAAACACTTACCTATGATGGGGTCCCAATTCCTCCTCCACTTCATCCTCTTCCTCTTCTTCTCTTCATCGTCACTGGATCAGGGACCTTAGACAAAGGAGAACCATGGCTCCTTTTTAAGAGACATTGACTTTCAGTGGTGGGGAGGAGTCCAATGAGAGAAGGCAAAGATGGCTGTTGAACTGGTGCCATCTCAGATGGCACCAGATGCTTTTTGAATTGTGGTAGAATCAGAATTGGCTAATTCAGGGCTCTGTGGTTTGAGACGGCATCCCAATTATTTCCAATTACAACACAGAGATGACAGCTGCTGCTAATGGAAGCTTCCCTGGGCAGACGATGAAGATTTTTTTGTACAACACTAATTCCAGAGACAGAAAGCGATGGAGGTTAGAAGGGGAGAAAGGTTTTCTAACATGTCCATTCGCATTTTAAATTTTATATTTACAGACCAGTACAGATATATAATACACCATCCTGAGAGCCCCATGAGGTTTAAAATACAATCATTCAGCAGAAAAAAAAGATCAAGTCTTTCCAAGAAGTTGTGATTGAAAACTTATCCATGGTTCCCCTGTTGCCATAGGTAGCATTGAATTAATTCATTTTATTTCTTTATTTGATGGTGGGGATTTTCTTTTGCAATACTAGCTTCAGAGACAAGAAAGCTACAAAGGCTGGGGGCAAGGGTCAGCATGTTTCTTACATGCTCAAACATCTTTATTTTTATTTTTATTTTTAAAATAAAGATTTGTGGATATATGAGACCTAGTGTGATATAGAGCTTTGAGTCTTGGAGTAGGACTCTGAGAAACCAATGTTTAGATCTCAGAACTTGTTCAGAGGGGTTTTGCACTCACCTTCCTCTGAAGCTGAGAGTGTGTGACTTGCTCAAGGTCACCCAGTGAGTCCCCTAGTGACATCAACCAGGGTTTTGAACCCTGGACTCCCAGTGTCCTAGTCTAGCACTCAAACCGCTACACCATGGTGGCTCTTCAATATATGCATATTTCTCCCCAGTTTCACCTAACCCAATGAATATTGCAATTCAGCTTGTCTTAATAACATGTCTTGGTGTTTAATTTTGGATGGATCCACTCATTTCTATCTCTACTACACACACAAGTGTGCACTCTTATTTTATTTTATTCCATTTGGTTACATAACTAAGTAGTGCATGTCGATTGAGGGTGCTTTGATTATGGATTCCTGCATGGCAAGGAATTGGACATGATAGCCCTTGAGGTCTCTTCCATGATTCTATGATTCCAGATTTCCAATCTAAAAATATTCAGAATGTAGATCTGAAAGTGGAATGTAGATGGTCTATTGCCATCTTTGCTTGGTGAAGCAGCCTGTGTAGCTTCCAAAGCTAGCTTGATGTATTTGCCATCCTTTGGCTGTCCCAATGAAGCTAATACCCAGGATGGGCATTTTGGGTGGTTTGTTTTATGGCCAGCCCTGTTAACCCTGCAATATTTTCAAACCTGTTCCAAAAAAAGAAGGAAGATGGCTCAGTAACAGAATACATGCCTTACATGGAGATGTGCCCAGGTTGAATCCTCAATATCTCTGAGTTGGGTTGAGAAAGACTTTCTTGCCCCGAACCCTAGAGAGCAGCTGCCAGTTAACGTAGAATCTACTTAGCTGAAAGGATCGATGGTTTGATGGGGTAGAAAGCAGAGACGGAGCGGAGGAAAACAGATTTAGGGGAAGACGCAGAGGAAAGCTTATTATGATGGCCCAGTTTCCTGAGTACTCTAGCTTGGCGGCATGCGTGTTGTTTGCTGCTAGAGGCCCTTGGAGGGATTGTAAGAATTAGCGAGGGGTTTTGTTGTTGTTATTTCGGTGAATGGCGTCTTTGTGTCGCTCAGATTCTTAGGTATAATTAACGAGGGGGAAAAGGCTGTGTCTACTTAGTTCCTTCCAAAAAATAAATTAAAAGGAGGGGATTAAAAAGAGAAAGAAAAAAAAAAGACAGAAAGAGGAATAGATGCATATGTTGAGGCAGAGACTGAGAAACAATAATATACTAGAGAAGGAGAGATCAGGGTGAGACCCAGCATAGTATAGTGGTTTGAGTGTTGACTATGACTCTGGAGACCAGGGTTTGATTCATCCCCCGGCCACTGGGTGACCTTGGGTGAGAGTCACAGACTCTCATCCCTTCCAAACCTTTCAGGATGTTCAGATACAAGGAGAACATTGCGCAAGATCATCACTGGTCTATCTTTCTTCCAAGCAGGGTTTCCTGAGTGTTAAGGACTCCAGGTTTGCTTGTTGTTGTTTTTTGATGTAGAAACAACAGATAAAATTCTTTCCATCCTTAATCCAGGGTAAACAAAGGAGAGGAAACGGAACATGGATGAGAACAAGCAGTCATTGCAAAATGATGGTGGATGTTGGTTGTGGTCATAATAGTGGAGGCAGTACTGGGATGATCAACACGGAGGATCTGGAAAGAGACAAGTTCCTACTATGATCTTGGATTGTGGTATTTCAGTCCTTCACTTCCATTTCTCGGCATGACTAATGCCCACTGGGTTGACTGTCTGAGACATCCTGTCACTCTCCTAGCTGCAAATTGGCTGCATTTCTCAGTCTTTTAAAAGCCCAGGACAAAAAAATGAAAAAGGCACAAAGGAAGCCAAGTAGCAACACAAAGGCAGCTCTTTGGATCCAAATGTTCCTCATTTGCAGTACAATGTAATTCAGGTCAGCTTCGCTTGCCTTTTTCATTCAAGGGATGTTTATAGTAAGTAGCCACAGGCCATTGATGCTAATCCAGTTTCTGGTACCTTCCTCTTTTTGTGAGCGCTGCCTTCCACTCTTCTCTTTCCACTCTGGAGATCATAGAAATACAGGCTGGACCAGCCAAGTTTGAGAATTTGTTAATCCTTAGATTGTTGTTGTTGTTGTGTGCCTCCAAGTCATTTTTGACTTCTGGCAACCCTAAGGCAAACCTATGGCGGTGGGGGGGGGGTTCCTTGGCAAATTTCTTCAGAGAGGTTTTGCCATTGCATTCCTTTTAGGCTGAAAGACTATGACTTGCCCAAGGTCACCCAGTAGGATTAAGATTACCCAGAGGTACAAAGAACATGGGAGCCATGGGTGGTGTCTGCATGGGCCAAAATACTCTGGAATCAGCCCAGAGAACTGCTCCAAATTCCCTGTGTTGTGCCCCAGGGCAGCTATTCACCTATGTGTCCTGCTATGTCACCCAGCATGGACACAGTGATGGTAAATTGCTTGCTTATGAGGTCAGAACGAGGCATACTTTTTGTGCAAAAAAACACACTGAAAAATATTGTTTTCTGCTCACGATGTGCCATTTCCTGCAGAGAAAATGTTGTTTTCTGTGTATGAAAACCACAGATGAATTTTGTACAGAACAAATCCCAAATTAATTAGATTCTTGGATTCTTGCGAAACATATATTCCTTCTGCCCTGCCTCCAGTATATTAAAATATTCTCTCTGTCTCTAATGAAAACTCAGACTGCTGCCACACTGCAGAAGTAATGCAGTTTGACACTGCTTTATCTGTCCTGGCTCCAGGCTCTGGAATGCTGGATTTGAAGTTTCCTGTGGCACCAGAGCTCTCTGACAGAGAAGGCAAAATAGCTCACAAAACTACAGATCCCAGAAATCCATAACATTGAGCCATGACAGTCAAAGTGGTGTCAAACAGCATTTATTCTGCAGTGTAGAGGCATTTCTTAACAAGATTTACTCAGAGAAGGTTTGCCATTGACTTCCTCTGAGGTTGACAAGGTGTGACTTTCCCAAGGTCACCCAGTGGCTATCAAGACAAAGTTGTGAATTGAACCCTGGTCTCCAGAGTCATTGTCCAACACTCAGACCACTACAGGGACCCCTGATATTTGTAACTGAAGATGCTAGGGACTGAAGCCTAGGACTTTCCAGATGGAAAGTCCAAGTTCAGCCTTTTGCTCTCAACCTTCCCTTTGCATTTCATGCATGTTGTCTTCAGATTGCTTGAACCCAGGGAGCACTAACCGTAACAGTCATAGACTAATCTCTCTCCCATCACACCATTGCAGTGCATCAGTCTCCCATGGGCATGGACCTACTTTGGTTTGTCTCCTCCTATTCTTCCCGCAAGACCTTGGCAGACAATAGAGACAAAACCATACCTATTATTTCTCTCCAACTGGATTACAATTGCATATGAACAGGATGGAAATGTTGACTTAACCAGACAGGGAGAAGTCAGGGCTGAGGGGCGGAGGCGAGTGTAGCCCAGAACTGCTTGTTCTTTGCAGGAAACATTCAAATTTGAGACTGATGTGAGCATAAGGAAGGGTATCAGGAGATTGGATAATCAGAGATAAAACAGAGTGGGCAATAAAATACCATTTGTTCATGCATGTGTGTGGATTTAAGAGCTCTTTGGGGGATCTCAAAGGATAAGCTGCAGAGGCTGTAGAAGAAATCGGAAGGTGCCTCTTTGTGTAGGGAGCATTGGCCTGGTTTAACCAGCCATCACGCACACTTTTCTCCTTCTGCTCAAATCTATCTTGGGGACAGTTTAAATGACCAAGGACGTTGACCCACTAAAACAGAGATAACAGGATCCTGTTGGTGCCTTGCACACCTATATAGAAGCTGTGAAACATTTTCTTCTAGTGCAGAATGTCTGTATTCAGTTCAAGGTTGCAAAGGTGGAGGTGTGCATGTGATGCCATTGTGCACGGCACAGTGATGGAATGGGAATTTGTCCATTTTGTGATTGGGGTCGAATCTGGAGCTTCCACTCCCTTGATTAACTTGCACAGAAGGAAACATGGCATGTTGAACATTCTTGCAATGCGTGGGAGCTTTTGTTGTTGTTGTTGTTGTTGTTGTTGTTGTTGATGTTGTTCCTGACACAATGTCTTGCAGTTTTGTGCAGGAGGTTCTGAAACTGCCCAGTTTTGCAGTCAAAAAACAAGACTATGCTCACTCTCTTGTCATGACACACAGAAAACTGTGCAGCTTTCTGATGACAAATAAAAATAAAAATAAAAATATCCACTGGCTTATTTTGTTTTTGTCCATGTACTTAGGAAGTGTTGAAGGGGCCCATGTTATGGCTGCAGCCTTTCCTGGTTTGAATCTTGCACAACTCAAATGTTATGCAGCAGGAAAAGAAACTCTGGCTGAGTGAATCTTCTGCCTTTGCTGGTGCAAATATTGCACAATTTCCTTTCCATGCTGAATGCTGCACGCTTTCAGTATGTGCAATATACACCAGTGGAAATGGACAACCATGCAAATATCCATGGGCAATGGGCAACCACACATAATGGGATTGCATGTACAACTCAACTTCTGCAATCTGGACCTGAATATGGCCCATCTGCACCAGACATAAATGTTCAACCACTTCTAAAGGGGAACATAAGCATGTCCAAGACAAAACAAATTCTGACCATTGGCTCCCCCACCCCTGTTTGGCTACGCTTTTAATACATCCCACTAATCTATATATTTTATTCACACATTTTCCTATGATATACATTTCCACCCATGAGGAAAGTATGTTTTTTCTTGTTTTATGACCATATGCATCATACTTGCTTTGATTTTTAAAATGCATAGCACATTATATTTCTTCCAAATGCACAGCAGGCCTTGGAAATCTATAATTCCTTACTGTGATATGTGATGTGTTTAGTCTCACCAGGAATCCCCAGAAGTGGACAAAAGCTAGTTTTCATCCAGTCGGTTGAATCCAACACAATCCTTGTCTATACCTAACCTCTGGAAAGGAGACCTCACCTTTGAGATTTCACATAAGTCTTGGAATGGAAAGGACCCCACTCCCTTCTATGAAAGGTTGCAAAGTCTTTGACTCCCTTGGCATTATTCAATCTCGAAATTAAGAGGCAGAGGGAGAGGGAGAGGGAGAGACAGCATAAGCAAGTCAGTGCAAGAGAGCATGTGTGTAAGCTGGCAGATAACAGTGACAGGGTGGAAGGAAAGGAAAG